CCCTCGTGTAAATGCGATTGATTCGATCCTGGCGTAACGACCGTGCCATGGCTTCTCGTCTTGTTAAAATCGCCCCCCCCCCCCACTCCCTGCTTTGAGACCGTTGCTCTGCAGTTTAAACATCCCGCTCTTCAGGACCTTTGAACTTCTCGGTCACGTGATCACTACTGGAATCTCCTCCGCGGCCACGACACACCTGTTCTGTACCAAGGTTCGGCCTCACACAAAAAACAGGTATAACTTGTGGTTTTTTTAGTAACTTTCTCTTGCATACCACTAGTACATGCTGTTGTAAGGCCTGTAGAAAGGCTTCAGCTAGAATATGTGGTATCATAGTTCGGTCAAAGTTGTCGAACTTCACTTAAGTTTAAGTGCGTTGCATAAAATGTGACATAAACAGGCGAGGCCATGACATATCCAACAGTGGGTCCACAATAGTCTCCATTTACCCCGCAGCTGCAGATACAGCCATTGTGCTTCGTGTTCCTTAAAAAAAACTTGATTATTTTGTGCCTTGTCATTATTATATTTTAAAGGCAAATTTCCAGCTGCGTTAATTAATGTTAAGGGGGTGGTGCAAGTTATTTGTGGCATACCACCCAGCCCATACCTGGTCATACTATGCTCACCCCAAAAAAGGTACAACGAAAGGAACCGTCGATACTTTTTGCTTAATCTGAGAGAACATAGATTTCCTTACCCCTCCTCTAATCTTGAACTGAACTCATCGCAATTATCAACAGAAAGTGTTATCCAGTGGCGTTAAAACGTACAGGGGTACCAGGGAGGGTACCGCAGGTGTGGTATGTGCCATGTCAATATCTACCTTTACTTGGCCCCTTTTGTGACAGCTGGGGTGTGACCGACAACGTGAACAATAGGCAGTTCTCATGCAATGGTGGTCGTCATTCACACTAGAATTGCTTTATTAATAAGTGATATACATTTCTTGTAGTAGCAGAATTACAGCGTTAAAGTAATTGTTCCTGCTGAAGTGTTTACGTTAGCTAGAAGGCACAGTGGTTGTGAAAATTAATGTTTTTTATTCTCTAAGACTTTGATTGCGTGCCAACATTCTTCCCCGCTCCTAACAATGTACACAGCCCAGGGCCGCAGGCTAAGTTACAGATGACTAACCAATAAAAAAACATCCACTGGGTCACATCCTGTGTCCAAGCAGATTCGGTGGGGCAAGGGGACTTTATATCGGCCACCTTACTAGCGTTACATACAGGCGGCCAATGGATACAAACGGCCACCATAAAGTCCCCTTGCCGCACCGAATCTGCTTGGAGATTAACAGGTTGTAAAGAACAGCACAACATTGGAACCTTCAGATTGGCTTAAGGATCAAGGAAACTATCATTAGGCTAGCCTGTAACACAAATAAACTAGGCTACTGCTGCTGTTGTCAGATATATATGTACTTCCTCATCCTTAGTTTGCGTAAGAATCATACTTGTTTCACCATTCTATTGCCTTCTGCTGAGAATTCAGTATCGATAACTAAAAATTCTGCATACTGCAGTTATGTTGCAGAACACTCGTGAAATGCTCATGCATTAAATTTTATCACTTAACAGTCACCCGAACATGGCTGAAGCAGCGGCAGGTGCAGCTCAGGCGCTAGAGGGCGCTGCAGGTGCAGTTGCTGGTGCGGCCCGCCAGGCGGCCCCCGTTATCGACTTCTCGGCCAACGGTTTCTGGGGCGGAGTCACCCTGAAGATTACAGACCCACGGATCGCAGCCGGTGTGGTGGTCGGGGCCTCGGCTGTTGGGTTGGCCCTGGCGATGTCTCGATTCTACCGAGACAACAGGGACGATGCTGATGACGCCATTCGAGACGTCATCGAACGGCGCAGACGGCAGAGAAGGCGCCCCCGGCGGGATGGAGGGGAACTGCAGCCGGATCCGGAAGTCGTTGCCATCGAGGAGGGCTCGCTCTACGTGCACGTCGGCTTCCGTACCGAGGACGGCTACGACTTCTTCAGCGCGCTGTACGACCAAGAGTACATCCAGACGCGTCTGAAGGCGGAGTTCAAGACGCTGGGGTTCCAAGGTGAGCTTAAGGTCATCCTGGAGAGAAGCCAGGTGCCGGGTCGGGAGAAGGAGCGGGCGGGGAGGGTGGACCCGGGGGTGGCAGAGATGTTCAGGAGGATGAGGATCCGTGACACGGTGAGTAGCAACTCTTTGATTTTCGTATTCGTTCAATATCTTGATGCTCTTTGTTTCCTGTCGGTTTACGACGAACTTGATGGATTTTGTTTCCCTTTGGTCCATCTATTCTCGAGTACTACTGCTGTCACTGCGAACCCTGAATACAATTTGATATTTGGTGTTTTATCCTACAGAGTTTCCATCCCACCACCACACTACTGACTGAAAGTGAGTCTGGTATAGAGACGGCCTCCGTGTCCGCTCAGTCCGGAGTGTCGTCAGAAGACGTGCCCGAGGGGCCTTTCAGGCGGTTCCGTCTCCCTCTACAGCCGTACCGGGATTCCCCTACAGCCCAGCGTCACATCCAGGCCTGCAGAACCTTAGAGAGGGGAGCCGAGCTGCTGACCGGCAGTGGGTACACAGATCCAGCCGGACTTACCTTGCTGGTGGAGGGTCTCGTAATGTGGGAACTTTTCGACGACGGAAGTTGTCATTACTTCCTTTACGACCCCGATAATCTCCAGTTGGACAAGAAGCGACTGAATAATTTAACATCCACCCAGCTGGAGCACAGCCCAGGCGACAGTTCCTGCCTGTTCCTACAGGCGGCGCTGCTCCCTGATGGAGACAGCCGTGTTGAACGTCTCCGTCAGACCGTGAACACCATCCTACAGAACGGCGAGGAAGACCCGCTCCACCCGTACCTCCATAACATCTCCTGCATGCTGGCACTTTCCATATGGGAAAACACCGGCCAGCCTGGCCCTGCCCTTGCTGCCTTCGCCACAGCGCTGATGTACAAGTCTGATCACCCGGTCACCTTATACTGGACCGCTCTGTGTTCCATGGATGTTTCAAAGTCAGACGCCATTCAGCAGTTCCACCAGTACCTGCGTGTAGCGCCTCCTTGCGACGTAGCTGTGCCACATGCTCATTACCACCTGACCGTCCTGTACGGTGAACAGCAGCCGGTGGATCGGGAGAAGGTGGAGGCTCACTACAGGTGGGGGCAGGAGGCCGAGAAGAACAGGCTGCCTGTGTTACCTGATGTACCAGAGTCTTTTAAAGATGACGCGAATGAGGCTTACATCAGAGCAACCAGTACCAACATGTAACATTTCGGTTTGATGACTTCTCAGGACAGATGAGTTGATTGTAGTTGGAGACCTGGAGAGTGAACAACTCTTTTTTTATTAATTAGTCACGCTTTCAGCACTGTGTCCACACTGTGCCCACAAACAAACACTAACTAAAGAGACCATTCGGACACTGTTTGGAGCTACAAAATGCAACACTAACTGGTGTGGCAACTTTAGAGACTTTGCTTACTGCGCTTTGTGTAGACCTCTGTATAAACGTTTGTTGTGCTTAGTGATGCTGGTTATAGAATGAAGGCCAAGATTACAGGACAATATGACGAGGGATCAGTAAGGATCATCTATGTAATAAAAATATAATGTACACTAGAATGGTTTATGGTGATTGTAAAGTGCAGAAGAAACAGGAAATGAAGAAGGAGAGAAGAGAACAATATTGTGGTGCTGAGTCTTTTCTTACCAAAGAGTACAAGATTGGCAGCGTAGAGCTAGAGTTGAGGGTCAAAAAATGTCGCTACATCATCAAGACCTGAAACAGAACACCTTAGTTTTCGAAAGACTTGAAGTGTAACCTTGGGCACCCCCCCCCCCAGCGTATCCTGGGAATAGCGCTGTCCCGTGTACTCGTACCTGTAGACGGGACCCGTGGGACTGAAAGGTTACCTGAGGTAAACAACAACAAACCGCGCGCTCACGTAACGGTTCTGACCTGCCGCACCACACCGCACAATAACCCACCGACATGCGATCCCGTCTCGCGAGGACAGCTCACCGCCAAATTACCCCTTAATGGTGACGTTAATTGCCTAAAGAGTCGCGGGCAGTTTATTTGCCCTCTTTTCTTCTGCTTTCATACGCCGCGTCCCCACCTTCCGGACAAAGAAAACCACATTCCTGTAGAAGTAGGACATCTTCGTAAGATGTCGTGGCATTGTCTTGCCCCAGACGGTTTCTCGCCACTTGTACCCATGTCAACGTTTGTACCACTTAGACCAATAAAAACATACAGTAAAACGATATCCTGGTTCGTTTGAGGATCAGGCGTGAGAAAAAGCGAGCAGGAGGTTTCGATTTGTATTTATAATAGCCTCCTTCGCAGTCTTGTTGGGCGTCGGCGTTATTTTTTCTCTGAGCGACGCGAGTAATATGCCGCGAATATAGGGACGATTTGCTGCCGAGGGAAACCTTCTCTCCGTGGCAAAAACTCCCTCGGCAGCAAATCGTCCCTATATTCGCGGCTATACTCGCGTCGGTCAGAGAAAAAATAACGCCGACGCCCAACAAGACTGCGAAGGAGGCTACCGCGTCGCCACCTTCCGGACAAAGGAAACACATTCCTGCAGAAGTAGGACATCTTCTTTAAGATGTTGTGGCATTGTCTTGGCCCAGACGGTTTCTCGCCACTTGTACCCGTGTCAACGTTTGTACCACTTAGACCAATAAAAACATACAGTAAAACGATAGCCTGGCTCGTTTGAGGATCAGGCGTGAGAAAAATCGAGCAGGAGGTTTAATGTCGATTTGTATATGGTCAGGTGTAACCACAGTGGGTGCCAACTAATCTCCAAGCAGATCCCTCTCGGTGGCAAAAAGACAGTATCAAATTGGCCAGGCAGTATCCATTGGCCAGAGAAGCTCCATTAGCCACCGACGGGGGGATCAGGACAAAAAAACGGCCATGATATAAAAAGGTAACGATCATTCCCCACAACCTCTGCTTGGAGAATAGGTGCCAACATCCACTCAGCCATTATGTCCACTGAACATAATGCTTGTATTTGGTTAAATAAATAGGTGAATAGGTGATGTAGGGTTGATATAGGGTTTGTCACTACCACACCCAAGTTGTGATACATATTATAACATTTACTTTACTTTATAACATTTACTTTACAAGAAAAAGAAAATATACAAAAGGCAAGAATTTTATATGGGACTAGTTTGCTAGAGATAAAAACGCAGTTGAGTTTATTGAGTGGAAGCAATTGATATAGCGATTTTTACCAACAATTAACAGATTTGGAACTTGAAACAGTCATCAAAATGCACCTAAACACGTATTTAGAAACCTACTATTAAGGCTGCTTAATTTGCGGATATACTACCGGTACATTCAGTACAAACAGAACCGTTCGGTATGCTACAGTCAATTCTAAATTTGGCCTCTGATTTTTCACGTTTTGCGTCTGTAAAGCTCACCAGAAGAAGGTATATATAATGCTATCACGTTAATCTCCAAGCAGATCTTTCGGTGGCAAGACAGTATCCATTGGCCAGAGGAGTAATGGATACAGGACGGCCAATGGATACAGGATGGCCAATGGATACAGGATGGCCAATGGATACTGTCTTTTGCCACCCAACCGAAAGATCTGCTTGGAGATTATATCACGTGTCTGTCGGAATGTTCGACCTACTATTTATAGTAGCTCCTTACAAAAGAACGTCTGCTGACATGCCAGTGTCTCATCCAAAACTTCCGGACTGAGAATAGTTAGAACAGGCCTGTCTTAGGTAACAACCCAGTTTAGCTTGCAATACCGTTCCATATTACATCAGGTAACGGTTACAAAATGTTGGTCTGTGTTCTTTCGTCATGTTGTTGTTATGAGCATTTGCTGCTTGAATGTCGTATTGAAAAGACGGCAAAAGCATAGACCTGTCCAAGGCAACAACATAATATAACCTGTTCTATTATGCCAGGTAGTAGTAGTAGTAGTCCACTGTGTTCTGCTGCTGCAGTAGCTCTGCATCCTGCAGCATCAATCAGTCTTTCTTCAGTTCTCTCCACTTTGTCCTTTATGCCAGGTAACTGTTAGAAAATACTGTCGTTCTTTCGTCATGTTGCTATTATGAGCATTTGCTGCTTGAATATCGTATTGAAAAGACGGCAAATATAACAGATATGTCCTAGTCTGAAAGTAGTTAAAACCGATATTACAC